CTCTGATAAATGCCTAAGGCAGGCAGTTGCTAGAATCTTGGATATGTTTTGAAGATGGAGCCTACAGGATTTCTTGACAGATTGAATGTGAGGTCGGAGAGAAAGAAGAATCAAGTCTTAAAGGTTTTTGGCCTGTGCAACTGGAAGAGACAGGGGTGGAGGAGGTTTAAGAGAGATCGAGAATTTTGCTCATGACATGTCAAGTTGAGATGTATGTTAGTCACCCAAAACAATTGTCAAGTAGGCAGTTGATCAGATGATTCTGGAGTTCACCGGAGAGGTCTGGCCTGGGAATATAAAATTGGGAGTCATCGACCTTTGAAGCCCTTAGACTCGAAGAGGTAATAGAGTTCAAGACAGGTCAGAGACTAAGTCCTGGCTACTCCAGTGTTTAGAAAATAGGGAGATGAGAAGGAAGAAACTGCAAAAATGGCCTGTGAGGAAGGAGGAAAACCAAGAGAGTTTAGCGTCTTGGAAGACAAGTGGAGAAAGCCTTTCAAGGAGGGAGAAAGGGAGCAACGATCATCTGCTTTTGTGGAAACAGTTGTCACAGCATATAGGCATATTCTCTGTGGTAGCCGGAGATTTTTTTTTTTTTTTTTTAAAGCTAGTGGTATTTATAGAGGGTGTCCTCCTTTTCTAGTTTTTTCTTATTAAGAAGAACAGAGGTTTTTTTTTAGTTTTTGTTCGTTTGTTCAGAAAGAAAATGGTCCCAAAGAGGAATGGAATCCTGTCTGTTGAGATCCAACTTAATTGTGTACTCACGAAAATTTTTTTTCTAATCTCAGGCAAAAGTATTCTTTCTCTTTTCAAAGCTCTCACATCATTTTTTGGTACCTCTAATAGCACGTAACATTTTCTGTTGTGTGAGATTGTTATTTGCATATTTGTCTTATTTTGAATCATAAGTGCTTTCAGTACTAGGGGATTGCTTTATTGGCTTTGTATTCCAGAAGCATATAATGATAAATGAAGACTGGATAGAATTGAGTTACATTCCATGTGGTGGTTAAGAACATGGGCTTAGGAATCTGACATACCGGATTCAAATCTTAGCTCTGCTGTTTGCTAGTAAATTCTTTAACCCCTCTATGCGTGTGCTCCCTCTGTAATATTGCCTACTTGGTTGGTTTGTGGAGCGGGATTAAACGAGATGAATTTAAAGCCCTTAGCAGAGTGCCTGGCTCATAGTAAATTCTCCATAATCATTCATTGTTGATGCCATCATTGTTATTGCTAATTAAAAAAAAAAAAAAAAAAAAACCCAAACCCGTTTCCGTTGAGCCGATTCCGACTCTTAGTGACCCTACAGGACAGAACTGTCCCATACAGTTTCCAAGGAGCATCTGGTGGATTCGAACTGCCGACCTTTTGGTTAGCAGCTGTAGCACTTAACCACTACGTTGCCAGGGTTTCCATGCTAGTATTATATTGACTTTCAAAGATACAGGGTTAAAGGAATGCTGCATTCAAGTTGAGGTTGACTTACATGCTAGGTCCTCTGAAAACTAAACATTCGGGTTCTGGTTTGAATCTCTTTCAGCAGCGTGTAGTACCTGACAGGAAGTAGAAGTCCTTTAAACTCTTTAGGCCCTGCAGGTGTCCTTTCCTTTGTTTTCCCTCCTTTCCCCTTTCTGTGCTGGGCAAGTTGTCTGAATAACTGATTGGGAAAAACATCATGCATGAGTCCTGTGTATTGTTTCTATAAAATTGAGATTTCTTTGTAGAAAATTTTAAGCTAACCTAGTCAGTATATTATTTTACAACTACAGTGTACAGCTGTAAAAACTGCATAGAAGAGGTGTCTGACTTCCTCCAATCTCACAACGGAGAAGAAGAGTCGAGATCAACAGCCGAAGGCTGATTGCTGTGAGGCAGAGGTCAGGCATGCCTCCTCTCTCCATCTTTACTAATTCTGACGCCAACCATCCCTCCCATGGCACTCTCTACTGGGTTCGATAATTCATTGCAGTGGCCACACAGAACTCACAGACCAGACTCACAATTATGGGGTTTATTAGGGAAGCAACAGTTATAATTCAGGCTCGGGAACACTCAGGATACAGTTCTTCCATCAGGATAGCCTCTTCCCAGCTGTGCTTGCAGGCATGCCTCTCCTTGGCCCTCATTTTCTGCCCAAAGGCACTCAGCTTTCTCTCTCTGTGGGCCAGGAAGCCCACTGCGCTGTTTCCTGCTGCCAGGTCTCTCCTGCTGGTGTCTCCTTCCTTGGTGGTGGTGAGCTTCTCCTCTCTGCTCTGAAATTGGCTCTCTTTTAAGGCAAAACTGACCAATCCCCTTGGTAGGGCACAATTACCCTATCACACAGTCACCTGGGTGAGAGTTACAAGACCATGGCTAGGAAGGCCACACAAAAGTAATCATTAATCGCACCACAACAGCTTAGATTTTTTCTTTACACACTAATTAAGCAATATAAAAGGAAAATGTTACCATAAATTCCCAAAACATTAGTCAATAAATTAATCAAAGAAAGTCCTCTATGTATATGATATATGTGTGTAGGTATATGTACTAAGTGCAAAGAAGACACTGAATATAAGGAACTTTCTTTCCTTGACTTCTAGGGCAGCGCTTGTAAACTGGGGACCTGATACTTGTTTTTCTAAATAAAGTTTTATTGAAACATAGCCACACCCATTCCTATTATCTGTGACTGCTTTCCCACTACAACTACAGAGTTGAGTAGTTGCATCATGGGCAACGTGGCCTACAAGCCTTAAGTATTTATTTTCTGGCCTTTTACAGAAAATGTTTGCCAACCCCTGTTCTAGGATATTATTTTTATGGCTCTTCTCTTACAGCGTTGCTCATTCCCAGTCTCTTGTATTGATTTCTTTTCCTCTGTCTGCTTAAATATTGTTATTCTCAGGCTTCCTTCTTGAACATCTCACCTTTCTTGAAGCTTACGTGACACCACTTTGTAGATTCTGTTTACTGACTGACTTCTTTTTAGTATCCTTTATAGACTTTTACTGCTAGGAACTCTGGCCACTTTTCTTATTCTGCAGTTTTATTTACTCCTGTGGCTTCAAGAACCACCCAGACCTCCCACTAGAGGATAAGACGAACATATCACATTGCTTTCTGGACCTTTCCTCTTCAGTGTCCCTTAGTCATTTCAGATTGAACACGTCTCAGACTGAACTCATTTCCTCTTGCTTCCAAAACAGCTTCCTAGGCCAGTGAACTCTCCTACCATGTTAACAGTCACATGCCTCAGAAGCCTGATAGTTCTCATTCCCCTCCTTCCAGTTACCAGTCCAGTAGTAGTAAGTGATCAAATAATTGTTGATCTTGCCTCTCAGGGCCATTTCTTTCTTTCCATTTTCACTGTTTTTGCATCAGTGCAGGCCCTACTTTTATTTATCTGCTTCCTTTAGTAACTTTTTTCATAGCCAGTGATCTTCCCAAGACAAATCTCTTGCTTAGAACACATCAGTGGCTCTTTATGTCCTGTAATATTTGAACTCTTCAGCACTATAGTTGAGGCTTTCCATCTGATCCCTTTCCAGAATTTTTCAAAGTAGCAAGCAAATTTTTCTTGATTCCTGACCTCACTTACCTATGACATGTTCAGAATGAGCTAGAATTATCACATAGTATTCTAATTGTTGGTTTGCCTACTCATTGAATATGAAACCTTTACGGACTCTGGATTTTTGTGTACTCAGAGCCTGCGCTCAAACACATAGTTGGCTTCACAATATTTGTTGAACCCATTGAGTTATTTTGATGTGATATCCTAGCCAACCGTAGGTTCTTTTGGAGCATCTGAATTTACTCTGGAATCTACAAAGATTTAGAGATGGGATTAAATGCTTCAAGCTTAGTATGATTACTAAGGATGGATGGTAGAACTCTGAGTAACACTCATATTTTTCGGTAGGTTTATTTGGGGGAAAATATTCTTCAAAGCAGATTTCATGCAGTGAATCTTATTTTATTAGGCTTTATGAAAATGGAACTTTTTAAGGTGGAGGGAAAAAAAAAAACCTCCCAGTTAGAATGAACTTTGGTGAAGAAGAAAAGACTATAGACAGCGATATGCTGCCTACCATACACCCACAGTATTAAGCTTGCTGGTTGTTGCTTCACTAGAAGTTCACTTTTCCTTTATTGAACCTTACATAAGGGTACCTAATGTACCCTTTTGAGAATCCCTTGACTCCATGCTTTTAGCTTCCAGAGTATTTTTTATTAGTTTGTTTTAAAGTGTGAGGTGTCAGATGATGTAAAAATGAACAGAAGCCCCTGTGTTTAGTTTATAGGGGAATATACGTTAATAGTTATTCATTAAAAGAAAAGACTACTTTTTCCTTTAAATGTGCCTTTCAGGTTTTCTTTTGTAATAGTCTGTGTATTCTTTTTTTTAAAGATGAGAGTGGTTAGTAAGACTCTAGTATACGTGTAATCTTCTGACTTTTCTATATTAGAAAAAATTGCCTTTATAGGCAGATAGTTTGCCACAATAGACTTCAGATTTTTAACTATTACTTATAGGAAGAAATACGTTTTACATTGCAGCCCTGTGCACAGAATAATATAACAAGTTTCATGAAAAAATCCTTACTTTTACTGTGTAGTCTGTCCTATCCTGTCCTCTTAGTTATCTAGTGCTGCTGTAACAGAAATATCACAGGTGAATGGCTTTAATAAATAGAAATTTGTTTTCTCACAGTTTAGGGGGCTAGAAGTCTGAATTCAGGGCACCGGCTATAAGGGAAGCTGATGCTCTGTTGGCTCTGGAGGAAGGTCCTTGTCTCTTTTGAGCTTCTGCTGCTGGGTGGTCTTCACGTGGCTTGGCATCTTCCCCCATCTCTGCTCTCCTTGCTTAATTTCTTTTATATCTCAAAAAAGATGGACTAAGAGACCCTCTACACTAATACTGTCTCATTAACATAACAAAGAAAACCTGTCCCCAAATGGGATTATAACCACAGGTATAGGAGTTATGGATTTACAACACATATTTTTGTAGAACACAATTCAATCCACGATACCTATCCTATCCCATCCCACTCCCTTCTCAGTGATGACTGGGTTGGAACCCACAGCTTGAAAAATACTGGTCTAAAAAGCAAATTGTAAGGTATAAGCAATTACAGAAACAGGGAATTTACTTTGTAAAAGACAAAATTAACCTACTTTGAGAGTTCTGTGGGTGATATAGAAAGATACAAAATTCAGCTTTTACTCTGAAGACACATATAGTTAGCTGATTGGGCAAATTTTATGTGTGTATGGATCTCTGTGTGTAGTGACTGTGATATAAAATATGATTTCTTTAAGCTACTTTTGAAAAGAATTCTTTTCTATAACACCCCTGCAGTTGTAAAATTGTATCAAAATCAATAGAGTATACAATAAATTCCAAAGTATTTGTAAGTGCTTTAGGAATTTGGAGACAGGAAAAGATTAGTGTGAGTTGGAACAGCTGGGGATGGCCTCATGACAGAGGTGGGAGTCAAGTAGGAACTTAAAAGATGGGTAGAATGTGTGTAGGTGGGAGGAGGGGCTTGACATTCCAGTGATGCCAAGAGTGATCAGTGTCTTAGAATTGAAAGAAACAATATATTCAGGAAGAGTGAGAAGTGAGATCTGGCTATAATATGAGGTTCGCGTTGGTCATGAGTGAAAGATAAGATTAAGTTTGTAAGGAAGAGCCAGATTATGAGGTGATTTAGACTTTATCCTGTAGGAAATGGGGTTCTCTCTTACCTCTCTCAGTCCCTCCTTCTCTGTATTTCTCATCTCTCAGCTTGCAGTGAAAATATAGTTGATGTTTTGGGAGAGTAAGTATGGCCTGGTTAAAGTTGGGAGAACCTAGGGGTTAACAGAGATTAATATTACACTCCTATGGAAGCAGTAAGCCAAGGCTAAAAATCGAAAGCGTTTGGCAAGAATAGATAAATGGTTTTATTACATTTTAATTAATTTACAGAAGTAATCTCATTGTGTTTTTATTCAAAAGGGCATTTATTAAGTTCTTTCTCTATGCTAGGCTCTCAGGATTCAAAAAGGGATAAATATGGACTGTTTCTAACAGTACATTAAATACGTACAGTTTTCCTAGTTGTGTTTGTTTTTTTTTTTAAATCCTGGTATTTATCATGCTACCACATCTTCACAGTTGTGTATAATGAAGCTACACAACTCTATTTTCCCTCTCTTGTTAGGTTGCACTCCTCTGATTCAACCCAATTCTTTGTCTTTCTTGTACATGCACTTAAGTAGTTGATGTTTCTAGAGAAAAACAGTGTTTCCCCGTTTCACATTAAAATTATAACCACAGACCTGAAATGGGCCTGAGGTACTTCCAAACAATCCTGCTACATTTCCCCAGTAGTTCTCTCCCATTTTCTCAAAGGAGTGTTTCACATATTCTCTTCTCTCTTTTAAGGAGCCCTGGTGGTGCAGTGGTTAAGCGCTTGACGGCTAACCGAAAGGTCAGTGGTTCGAACCCACCAGCCGCTCTGCAGGAGAAAGATGTGGCAGTCTGCTTCCGTAAAGATTGGAAACTCTGTTGGGCAGTTCTACTCTGCCCTGGAGGGTTGCTGTGAGTCGGAATCGACTCGATGGCAATGGGTTTGATTTTTGGTTTCTTCTCTCAAACAACTTTATTGAGGTATAGTTTACATACAATAAAATTTATCCATTTTAAATGTACAATTAAAAATTTTAAGTAAACTTATAGAGTTGAAAGCCATCACCACAATACGGTTTTAGAACACTCCTGTCATCCCAAAAATGTCCTTTGTTCTCATTTGTAGTCAGTAGCTGCTTCTACCTCCCAGCCCCTGCTGTGTGTTCTGTCTCTGTGTGAGTTTGCCTTTTCTTGAATTTTCATATGAATGGAATCATACAATATATGACTTTTGTGTCTGGTTTATTCACTGAGTATAATATTTTTTTGATTCATCCATGTTGTAGCTTGTATTAGTAGTTTGGTATTCTTTAGTGCTGAATAGTATTCCATTGTATGTGTATATCACATTTTGTTTATCCATTAATCTACTGCTGGACATTTAGTAGTTTCCAGCTCTTGGATATTATGAGTAATGTTGCTGTGAACATTTGCATACAAGTCATTGTGTGGACATGATGTTTGCATTCCCCTTGGGTAGAGGTAGATACCTAGGAGTGGAGTTGCTGGGTCATATGGTAATTTGTAATTACCTTCTTAAGAAACTGCCAAATTTTTTCACAGCAGCTACACTATTTCACATCCCTACCAGCAACGTATGAGGGTACATTCTCACCAACACTTGGTATTGTCAGTCTTTTTTATTATAGCCATTCTAGAGGCTATGTAAGGAGCCCTGTTGTGCAGTGGTTAAGAGCTCAGCTGCTAACCCAGAGGTTGACAGTTTGAACTCACCAGCTGCTCCACGGGAGAAAAGAACTGACAATCTGCTCTGGTGAAGATTACAGCCCAGGAAACCCTAAAGGGGCAGTTCTCCTCTGTCATATAGGGTCACCGTGAGTCAGAAAAAACTCGATGGGACACAACAACAGTAGTGGCTATGTAGTGATATCTCATTGTGGTTTTAATTTGCATTTCCCTAGTGACTAGCTAGGAGACCCTGGTGGTGTAGTGGTTAAGAGCTACCGCTGCTAACTGAAAGGTCGGCAGTTCAAATCCTTCAGTTGCTCCTTGGAAACCCTATGGGGCAATTCTCCTCTGTCCTATATGGTCACTATGAGTTGGAATCGACTCAACGGCAGTGGGTTTTGTTTGGTTTAGTGAATAGCCTACATGTATTTTGATAGGGATTGTGTTGAATCTATAGATCAATTTGGCTATAAATGCCATCTTAACAATGTTGTTAAAATCTAATCCGCAAACACAGAATGTCTCTTCATTTATTTAGATCTTCTTTAATTTCTCTTAGCAATGTTTTATAGTTTTCAGACTAAAAATCTTTTACTTCTGTTGTTAAGTTTATCCTAAGTATTTTATTCTTTTTGATTCTGTTGTGCAGGGATACTGCTCACAGGCCAAATTTAGCCACAGCCCAGCCCCTGAGATTATGGACATTTTTAAATGATTGTGGACAAAAAAGAAATAAGACTATGTAACAGACACCATAGATAGCTTGCAAAGCCTAAAGTACTATCTGACCTTTTACAGAAAAAGTTTACCTGTCCTTGCTGTTATAAATGGAATTGTTTTCTCAATTTTATTTTTGATTTGGTCTTTGTTAGTATATAGAAATAAAATTTATTTTTAAAAATAAAGCTTGTATGTACTGTGACCTTGATAAGCTCATTTATTAATTCGATTATTTTTGTTGTTGTTTTAGCTTCCTTAGGATTTTCTGTTTATAGGATCATGTCTGAGAATAAAGCCAGTTTTGTTTCTTCCTTTCTAATCTATGTGCGTTTCATTTCTCTTTTGTGCCTTATTGCACTCACTGGAATAGCCAGTGTAGTGTTAGCTAGGAGTAATGACAGTGGACATATTTGCCTTGTTTCTGATTTTAGGGGAAAGCATTCAGTCTTTCCCCATTAAGTATGATCTTGGCAACAGGTTTTTTATAGATGCCCTTTATCAGGTTGAGGAAGTCCTTTTTATCCCTAGTTTACTGAGAGTTTTTAATCATGAATGGATATTGGATTTTTGTCAGATTTTTTTTTTCTTTGTATGTATTGAGATAATCGTGGTTTTTGTCATTTATTCTATTAATGTGGTATATTACATTAATTATTTTTTGGATGTTATACCTATCTTGTATTTCTGGGATAAATCCCACTTGATCATAGTGTATAGTTATTTTTCTGTGCTGCTGGCCGTGCTACTAACCAAAAAGTTGGTGGTTCATATCCACCCAGAGACACCTCGAAAGAAATGCCTGGCAGTCTGTTTCCAAAAGATCACAGCCATTGAAACTCCTATGGAGCATCGTTCTACTCTGAGACATACACGGTTGTCATGAGATGGAAATGACTTGATGGTGGGTGGTTTTCTGTGTGGGGAGGCAGGGGTTAATTTACTAATGTTAAAGATTTTTGTGTCTTTGTTCATGGGTAATATTGGTCTGTAGTTTGTTTTGTCTTTGTCTAGTTTTGGTATCAGGGTAATATTAGCTTCATATAATTAGTTGGAAATGTTCTTTCCTTCTTTATTTTCTGAATGAGTTTGTGTAGGATTGATGTAATTTCTTTTTTAAATGTTGAATTCACCAGAGAAGCCATCTGGGCCTAGTGTTTTCTTTGTAGGAGGATTTTTAATTACTATTGAGTTTCTTTACTTGTTAGAGGTCTAACCTTTCTTCTTTTTTAATGTAGGTGTTTAAAGCTATATGTTTTCCCCTAAACGCTGTGTTAGCTACAAACCATACGTTTTTGCCGTGTTCTGTTTTTATTTTCATTCAGTTTAGAACATTTTCTGATTTTCTTTCGAGGATGGATTGTTTAGAAGTGTGTTATTTAATTTCCAAATATTTGAGGGATTGCCCCATTTTCTTTCTGTACCTAATTTTAAATTTTATTCTATTATGGCCAGAGTACATGCTTTGAATGATTTCATTTCTTTTGAATTTATTGAGACTTGTGTTATGGCTTAGCAAATGATCTGTCCTGGAAAATGCTCCATGTACACTTGAAAAGAATGTACATTATACTGTTCTTGGGTGGAGTTTTCTATAAATATCATTAGGTCGAGTTGGTTCAAGTCTCACATGCCCTTCTGATTTTCTATTCAGTTATTTCATTAAATTATTGAAATTTCAAACTATCATCATTGTATTGTCAGTGCTTCCTTTCAAGTCTTTCAGTTGCTGTCTTGTATTTTGGAGCTCTGTGTGCACATTTCTAATTGTTATATCTTCTGATGTATGGATCCTTTTATCATTAGAAATGTCCGTGTCTCTAGTCATAACATTAATATTCCTTGTCTTAAAATCTACTTTGTCTGATAATAATATTGCTACTCTAGCTCTCTTTTGGTTGCTGTATACTATATATTTTTCCAAAATTTTACTTTCAAGCTATTTGTGTCTTTGAATCCGAAGTGTGTCTCTTGTAGATAGAATATAGTTGGAGCTTTCTTTTTTATCTAGTCTAATAATCTCTGCCTTTTGGTTGTTGTGCTTAGTTCATTAACATTTTATCTAGCTTTTGATATGGTTGGAATTATCTCTATCATTTTGTTCTTTGTTTTAAGTATCTCTTAAGTTGTTTTTCCTCGGTTTCATTTATTGCCTTCTTTTGTGTTGAACAGATATTTTTTAGTGTTATCATCTTAGCTCTTCTGTTGATTAACATTTAACCAATTATTTTCTTAGTGGTTGTTCTAGAGATTACAATACGTATCTTGATTTATCACAGTCTCCTTCAAGTTAATATTGATGTAATTCTAGTAAAATATAGTGCATTTGCTCCAGTACGGCTCTATTTTTCTCCCTCTTCTTTGTGCTATTATTGTCATATTTTTGTTATAAACCCAATAATACACTGTTATCATTATTGCTTTATACAACCAAAAAAACCTACTGCCGTTGAGTCGATTCTGACTCATAGCGACTCTATAGGACAGGGTAAAACTGCCCCATAGGATTTCCAAGGCTGTAATATTTATGGAAGCAGACTGCCCCATCTTTTTCCCGAGGAGTGGCAGATGGGTTCAAGCCGCTGACCTTAACCACTGTACCACCAGGGCTCCTTTATACAACTTATGTTTTTTAATGATACTAAGAGAAGAAAAGAAAAAAATATCTGTATTTATACAGCCTTTATATTTTTTCATTTATACACCGTTTCGGGTGCTCTGCTCTTTTCTCCTTTTGGATTTGAATTACCGTCTGCTGTCATTTCCTTTTAGCCTAAGGGACTTGCTTAAGTTTTTCTTATAAGACAGGTCTCCTAGTTTTGAATTTTCTCTGTTTGTTTATCTGGTAGTGTTTTTATTTTTCCCTTCATGTTTGAAGAATAGTTTTCCTATATATAGCATTCGTGGTTGATGTTTTTCTATTTTTTATTCAGCACTTCAAATATACTTTTTTTTACTGCATTCTGGCCTCCATTTTTTCCTGATGATTAAGTCAGCTGCTAAAGCTATTGTTTTTCCCATGTATTTGGTGAGTCATTTTTCTGTTGCTGCTTTCACGATTTTCTTCAATTTGAGTGTAATGTGCCTAGATGCGAATTTCTTTGTGTTTATTGTATTTGGAGTTCTCACTGAGCTTTATGACATTTGGTAGATTAGGGTTTTTCATCAGATTTGGGAAGTTTTCAACCATTATTTTATCAAACATTTTTTTTTTCTCCCCTTACCTCTTTTTCCTCTTTCTGATAACTCCCTTTACACATATGTTGGTGGGTATGATGTTATCCCCCAGGTCTCTGAGACTCAGTTCAATTTTTAGCAGTCTTTTTCATTGTTGTTCTGTTCTTTATGTCAGATAATTTCTATTTCTCCATTTTCAAATTCACTGATTCTTTAATGGCATCTCAAATCTTCTCGACTGCATAGTGAATTTTTCATTTGTTATTGTACTTTTGGCTGTAGTATTTCCGTGTTTTAAAAGGTAGTATTTTGTTATTGAAGCTTTCTATTGGTTGTATAATTGTGGTTATATTTTTCTTTAAATTTTTAAACATGATTTCCTTTAATGTTTGAACATATTTGTGATAGCTACTTTGTATTCTTTGTTAAAATCAACAGCTGTGTCTGCTTAGAGTCAGTTTCTATTGACTTTTAAAATTTTTTTTACCTAAGTATAGGTCAGACTTTCCTGTTTGCATTTCTAAATTTTTTTTTTCCTGAAAATTGAACAGTTTAGACAATATATTGTAGCGACTCTGGATTCTGATTATGTTTTAAACCTTATGAAGGTTGCTGTTATTGGGTATTTTTTGTAACTTACCTAGATGTAATCTATAGAATTTTTCTCCCCTGTAGTGTGTAGCCCCTGGATTTTGTGTTTAATTTTTTTAATACTAATTTTCCTTTTTAAACTTGACTTCCTAGGATTGGGCCCTTTGTCTGTAGAACTTGGCGGCTGACCAGCGATTGGTCAGAGACTGTGCTCAAAGGCCACCATCATTTCCTGATGATTCTTTATGTGGGTTTTGGGGAGTCCATGCAGAATTCAGGCCGTTTTCAAGCTCGACTTTTACTTTCTTCTAGGCCCTTTCTGGCCTCCCGTCTGTGTGCACAGCCTTTCAGTCAGCCACAGATGTGTGGAGAGCTTATTTAGCCCCTGTATGTGTCTGATTTCCAGGTTCTCCCTGTTAAGTTTCTGGGTGTTTTGCTGGTCTGTCATTTTCCTCACCTGGTACTGCAGCTTCAGGGTAGCAGAGTTGCAGGTTTTCCCCCTTTCATTTCCTATCAAATTTAACTATTTTTACTGTCATTTTCACCAGGCGTGGGTTTTTGCTCTCTGTTCTAAGTGATGGTAGCTCTTTCTAGCAGCAAAGTGCCTGGTTTTCATAGCCAGCGCTATCCTGATAAAGACTACCTTGCTAACTGAGCTGAGTTGTGGCAGGGAGATGGTTGCGTCTTCTAGCAGGAAGTCCGCTCTCTCTCACTGTCCTAACTCTAACATCTAGCAGCTCTGCATGAATAGTGTTTTTCAATTTGTTGTTTGCCTTTGCTCAATTTCCAGAGCCCTGAGGTGGTTGTTTTCTACAAGGTTGTCCAGTTTTATAGGTATGTTTTGGGAGTAGATTTTTGCAGTCTTATCATTCATCAATAACTGAAAGTCTCTCCTCTTTAAACTTTCTAACCCCTTATACCTGTTCCCTACCACCACCCCACTTTAATTTACTCTGGTCATGCTTTTGCCACCATCATTCTGCTGAAACCACTGTGGTAAGAGTCACTGATATCCTGCATTTCCATATTCAATTGTCAGTTTTTGTTTTCATCCTACTCAACCTCTCAGCAGCTTTTGACATAAATGGCCATTCCCTGTTTCTGAAAACACTTTCTTTACTTGGCTCCTGAGATGCCATTCTCTCCTGTTTTCCTCATACTTCATTGACCACCCCACTTGATCCACTTCCTTTTCATATCTGTAAATTTTTTTCGGTATGAACTTCCTCCTTTGGTGATACCATCGGATCCTTTATACAGATGACCTCCATGTGCATATTTCTAGCCCTAACTTCTACCCTGAGCCTCAGTATTTCCACTTGGATATGTAATAGGAATTTCAAACTTAATAGATAGAAAACAGACCTTGATTCACCTTGTCCCTCAAGTTTATTCTCTTCAGTTTTTTTAATTTGCTAGCCCACCTCTAGACATTTATATTTGGAGTTCCCTGTGACTACATTGTCCGTCTCCTGGCTCTTCACATGGTTCCCACCTTCATATTTAGGTTTCTGTTTAGATTTTATCTCCTTTGTGAGGTGTTCTCTGACTTCACTATTTAAAGTATAGCCCCTTTGATCTATCATGCTCTGGCATCTTACTCTGCTTTGTTTTCATAGATCACAGTATGAAATTAACACTGTTTGTGTTTGTTCCTCTCTCTGCTGCATAGACTGTAAGCTTTGTGAGGGTAGGAACTTTGTTAGTCTCGTTCACTGCCATATCCTTAACTATGAACAGTGCCCGGCACAGAATAGATGTACATTATTTGTGGAATGACAGTGTTTCCTATAGAATTGGTATGTCATTAGTAAACTAATAAAGAATGATTCTGTAAAAATGGCTAGGATTGGGATAATTGTGTATTTAAATGCATCTTTGTGTATTTGACAGTGTTTGATTGCTACTTATAAAAATTCTTTTTTGAAATTTATATTTTAGGCGGTTTTGACTGTCTAAGCATCCTTTCTAAAGGAATAGAGTATTAACAGAAGACCAAGGGAAGATGACTATTTAGGTCCATGTACCTGCTTCACTTATGCATTCTTTTCCGGTCAAAGATAGTGTGCGTAATCTTACACAACTTCTATTATCTGGGAATTTAATAGTTCTCTGTTACCTTGGTTAATGAGTCTGGAAAAATAAATAGCGTTAATTTTAACATGGTTGACTATGTCAAGAACAATCAACCATAACATCTGTATATCATGAGTAGTGTGAGTCTTGGCTTACTAATAGTTCTCCCACAAAACTAAGTAACTAGATGTGAGTTGGCAAAATGTAGAAATACTTCTAGTAATAGCTTCAGTTTGGAATGGGAATGGACACAGTTTTGAAATTGGTGAAGTTTTCTCTTCTTGCGGTCAAAACTTAGAGTCTGACATCAGTTATTATCTTTGTTAAAGCAATTATACGGTACTGCCTGAGGTTCTTCTGTTTATTGCTGTAGTTAGGCATTTTGTAACAAGTAATGAGGGAAAGATTGATGTCTTATAAAAGAAGTTTAAATATCACTGTATACATATAGAGACTATAGGAAATTTCTAGAGAAGGAACATTTCTACTGCCACCTTCTAAGAGTTGGAGTCCACCCTACTCTCTGCTTATCAGGCCCCTTGGTGCTTTGCAGTCCCCACCTTCTTTTTGGCCTTTTTTCTAAGCATAACACCATTTCCCTTTCAGGTTCCCAGGTGTATGCTTCATGTTTTCTAGCTCTTTTATATCATTATTTTAACTAATATTTTCTGGCCACTTAGCTGGTATTTCTGTATTCTTTCTATGTATTGTGCCTTTATTAACTGGATTTCTGATAGTCTAGTATATTGTTACTGTGTACTCTCTTCACATTTACTACTGCAAATTTATGCCGTTAGGAAGTCGTCATATTATTTGGTGCTTTCTTTTCATGAACAATGAGCATAACTTTTGAAACTCACCAAGGGGAAAATCGTTTGTGTGGTTTACAGATCTACCAGGATTGTGCAGTTTCTTGTATGCCATATTTTAACTCTTCCTAAAACTTAACAACTGAGTCCCTTTAATGGGGCTAACTTGACTTTTTTTTTTACCATATCTTAGAAAAAATAACACTTCTAAGAGTTTTCTTTGCCTTTAAATTTTAAGCATGAGAAGTTTGATTTATAGTTTCAAAAAATTATACTAGTGACAGCTCATTTCACATAACTGTTAGATACTAGACTAGTACTTCTCAAGCTACCTGTAGTGAAGTACTGTTTTAAATGTTTTTCAATTCATCAAAGACGGATACTTTTTTGTAAAATACAATGGATTACTAGATTACAAATGAATTACTGGAAAAGTAAAATTTAAAAAATACAAAATATAGTCTCCAATTTTTTAAATGAGATTTATAGACCTAAAATTACTCTGTCAAATTGTTATGAAAGTTTCTAAACACTCTGGATTTCTATATTTATCTTATTGTGGAGGAGTAACAAATAGTTTATGGACTAGTAGCAAATAGTTTGCAGATCAGCATTGGTCTGCAGGTCATACTTTTTAGTAGCATATCTACAGCCTGCTATTTGTAGTGTTAATATTCTTTCAGAAGCATCTTAATCAAGATTTTATGTGTTTCATTTTCAGAACCGAGAGCTCCAGATTATGAGAAAGCTAGATCACTGTAACATAGTCCGATTGCGTTATTTCTTCTACTCAAGCGGTGAGAAGGTAGGTCTGTCAATGTTTGTACTGAATATTGTAATAAATTTGTTATTGTTCTAGAAAAAGTTTTTCCCTGTCATTGAGACAGTTTTGCTAATTGAATGGAAGAATTTCAAAAGCACAGGCCCCAGTGATTCTGAGCCAAGGGTATGGCCATCACTAACATTAGTTATATCAAGAAGACGTTAATGAGATGATGAAGGGAATTAATTTTTAAGATTTGTTTTTTAATCTGTCTTCACAACTCAAACAAATTTACGTGTTTTATTAAACCGTTTATGTAGCTGTTCTGCTTTTGAAGCCCCATGATAATTCATCTGTTTATTAGAGGGAGGAAAATGATGGCATTTTATTAAGTGGAAGTTGATTAGAGGGGAAGAAGAAACAGGAGGACTTTGGTGGGTCCTGAAAGAGGCCAGTAAACATGGGGAAGCAAGTGTAACCTGTCCAGGGAAAGAGTTACAAAAAGTAATATGGTAGTATTAAAGAGCTTGGTATAACTCATCACTTTTTCCTATTAAATATATTTCTGTCAAAGCAAAGGGGAGTTAAGGAAGACTTTGTGCTGTGGATCCCCCCAATAACTAATACCATCGTACTCACTAGAGATGGAAACATAGAAAACCAGTTTCTTCTATTTTACCTTAATCTTTTTCTTTCTGATCATTCACTGTCCTCTCTTTCCAGACTCAATCTTTCCTTACATTTTTCCTTCATTGTTTTGGGATGAGGGGGCAGGGCAGGTAATAAACCACTTGATTTTTTGGCTAAATAAATAGACTTTGGATGACTTTAGTCGATGATTGTTTATCTCAGATTTCATCCGTATAACATCTAAAGTCCCAAGAGCCATAATGCCTCCTGATTTCTAGCCCAGTGTTCTTTTTACTTCACATAACAGTTTTGTTTCCCCAGTATAACAGTGCTTATTTTCCATTAAATTTTGTTTAGATTATTTCCTTAGAAATTCTTTTTTGATGACAGAGCCTGTAATATGGGAGAGTACCTATGTATTAAGTCAGCATTTTGATATGCATGCCTACAGGTTTATAATGGTTGTGTATACACATGTGTATCAGAGCCGATATCTTTAAACAACTGTAAGTAGCAAGGTGACACTTGTTTCTTAGTTGCCTTTAAAAAAAAAAACTAAATGATGCCTTTACTGGAATTAGGGACTGTAAACTCTCATAGGTATTTGAACTTTTTGGTTTCTAAAGTCAACTACTTAATTCATACTACTACTTTTTTTTAAATTAGCAAACTGCCTATTATTGTCTTTAGTCTTAACTGCTTTGGCATGTCTTTGCTTTATCCTGTTCCTTCCCAAATAAAATCATGGAGAATCTGTTACGTTCACAGCACTCTTATAATAGAATTTTGTGTCCTCATGGCTTTTTACCCCAGGGAGGAAAGTAAAGGTCAAAAGTATTTGTTCCATGGACTACTGTCTTGCATATAGATTCATTTCCAAAGGCCTCCTTATAAAGCCCATAAACATTTTCTGTTGGTTGTTTATTTTTGTTTAGCAGACATTTACATAACCCATTGCTATCACATCGATTCTGACTCATAGCAACCCTGTAGGACAGAGTAGAACTGCCTCATAGGGTTTCCACGGAGCGCCTAGTGGATTCAAACTGCTGACCTTTTGGTTAGCAGCTGAACTGTTAACCAGTGTGCCACCAGGATTTCGACATTTATATAGCACTCTCTATATGCCAGGTGGAGTCCCCGAGTGGTGCAAATGATTAACGCGCTTGGCTGCTAACCAAAGTATTGGAAGTTCATGTTCACCCAGAGATGCCTTGGAAGAAAGGCCTGACAATCTACTTGTGAAAAATGAACCATTGAAACCCCTTTGAAGCACATTTCAATTCTGACAGCAACTGGTTTTTTTTTGTTTGTTTTTTAACCGGTTTTATATGCCAGGTTCTGTTTTAGTGAATCCCTGTATGGCACAACGATTAAGTGCTCAACTGCTAACTGAAATGTTAGAGATTCATATCTACTCAGAAGTGCCTCAGAAGAAAGGCCTGGTGATCTCCTTATCCCAAAGTTCACAGCCATTGAAAACCCTATGGAGCAATTCTCCTGTAAAGCATGTGGGATTGCCATGAGTTGGAACTGACTCAGTGGCAACTGGTTTGGTTTTACTAGTTTACACACGTTATCTCATTTATTCTTATGAAGGTAGAGAAAAGAAAGAGAAAAATATTAAACCTTTTTGAATGTAAAGTTCTATTTGTGGCAGCACCTAAAGACTTAACTGTCTGGTTTTGGTTTGGGAGAAAATCCCTGATCACAGTCAGCCCTCAGCCTGTCTTAATCCTGCTTTGGGAGTACATCTGACTGACTATAACTGTGTATCCCAGAGGGTGAATTCCTCCCTGCTTTTGCTGCTACTGCTGCTCAGAGTTTTCTGTTTATCTTACAGGTTCTTGCAGATAAAGAGCAATTGAGAGATCATTAAAGGAGGTTAACCAGAAGGTCAGAAAACCTCTATTATCAAAAGAAACACAGTTTCTAATATTTTATTTATCTAGGAAGTTGCTCTTAAACCAAACCAAATCCGTTGCCATCAAGTCGATTCCAACTCATAGCAACCCTATAGGACAGAGTAGAACTGCCTGATAGGGCTTCCAAGGAGCACTGGTGGATTTGAACTGCCGACCTTTTGGTTAGCAGCCAAACTCTTAACCACTATGCTACCAGGGTTTCCAAGAAAGAAAGTAAGAAAAGGGAAAGAGAAGAGAAGAAAAGGAAGGTAGGCGAGGGAGGGAGATGAGGGAACCTAGTCTGTTTTAGTCTGGAACTTCAACTTAACCTGTTCACTGTGGGTGACCCTGATGGTATTTGAAATACTGGTGGCATAGCTTCCAGCATCATAACAATGTGCAAGCCACCACCACAGTGTGACAAACTGACAGATAAGTAGCCA